AATCCATCAGTGTATTTGTCCATTTAGAGTGCTATGACAAAATACTATAGACTGGGTGGCTTAAAAACCACATAGATTTATTTCTTACCATGCTGGTGGCTGGGAAGTCCGAGATGAAGGTACTGGCAGATTTGGTGTCTGGTGAGAGCCCTCTTCACAGATGGTCATCTTTTCAGTGTGTTCTCACATGGTGAAACGGGCAAAAGAGCTCTCCAGTACCTCTTTTATAAGGGCACTAATCCCGTTCATGAGGGCTCAGCCTCCAGACCTAATCGCTTCCCAAAGGTCCCACCTTCTATTATCATAAACTTGGGGGTTAGAATTTCAACATGTGAATTTTGGGGAATATAAACGTACATTTCATTGCAATTAGCAAGCACTGTTCTTTTCAAAAACATATAGTCAATCCATCATTTTTCTCCCTCATCCTCCACTGTTACCTTTCTAGTCCATCACCATAATATTTCACCTAAGGTACTACAACTACAGCAAGTTTCCTAATGGTCTTCCTGCTTCCACGCTTGACCGTTTCCAATCGTGTCTTCACAACATGGCCACTGAAACTTATACGAGTGCATATCATATCATGTAATTCTCCTGCTTTAAATAATGTATTTGTTTTCCACTTGACCAATACTAAAATGTAAACTTATTATGGCAAACTCTGCCCTACAAAATCTGCAGCTAGTCTACTCAGATTTCATATTCTTTCTTTCTTCCAGGCTCAATAAGCTCCAGTTCCACTGGCCTTCTTTCTAGTCTATGAACACTCTGAGAACTCATTTGCTCGAGAGCTTTGTGCTTTGTCTGTATTTTCCCTTCCTGATTCATGTGATTTACTCATTTCCATCCTTTAGGTCTCATGATAAATGTTGCCCACTCAGAAAGATTTTCCCAAACCTCACCAAGTCCTTTCACCCTGTCATTGTTTTCTCTGGCGGCACTGTTTTTTTTTTTTTCTCCCTAGCATTTACCTCAAACTCTAATTCTTTATTTCTTTGTCTGTTTTCCTTAGAAGAATTTAAGTTCTGTGAGATGGGGTCCACATATGTACATCTATCTTATTGAGTGCTTTAACCCTAGAGCCTATCAGAGTAATTGGTGTTCAGTAAATTATGAGTGGAAGCATAATTATCGATAAATGTTGCCCACTCAGAAAGATTTTCCCAAACCTCACCAAGTCCTTTCACCCTGTCATTGTTTTCTCTTGCGGCACTGTTTTTTTTTCTCCCTAGCATTTACCTCAAACTCTAATTCTTTATTTCTTTGTCTGTTTTCCTTAGAAGAATTTAAGTTCTGTGAGATGGGGTCCACATATGTACATCTATCTTATTGAGTACTTTAACCCTAGAGCCTATCAGAGTAATTGGTGTTCAGTAAATTATGAGTGGAAGCATAATTATATGGATGAATGGATAAAGGCTTGTTTATTCTTTGAACCCTGATTTTATGATTACAGATTCTATGTGCAACATTTTGATGAATCTGATGAACCTGTAGAGTCACGTGACTATTTGTGATTGATACTAAAATGCAAGATTTTCCAGATTTTGTAAAATGTTCCATACAAACTGATCATGAGGTTGAAATTTTACATTTATAATAAATGTTGATTATAGCTTAAATTCTGAATTATTTTTAATTAAAATATAATTTTCAATACAACAATTCCTGACTTCTTCTCCCTTTCATTTCTTCCTCTCCCCCTTCTTTCTTTCTTTGCCTACCAGGCTGGCAGGAGGGAACATGGTCCCAGGTTACTACCAGGATGGGGATTGGCATTCAGAAATGGGGTAAAGAACCACTTTGTAGAGAGAGATGCTCAGTAGAGGAGAAATTTGGAAGAAAGAGTTTTGGGGAAATGCCAAGCTGAATTCCAGGCAAACTGTTCCAATGAATCATATAGCTGAAGAAGCTCAGTATGACCTTTGACGTGGAGCTGGAAGACTGACTCTAGAGAAGTTAAATGAAAGGAGAGAAACGAGTCCAGAGTGGAAACAGATTGTAGATTTTGTCAGGTGCTTACTCTGTTAGGTGGCCAAGATGTGATAAAAGGTGTTGACTCAGCCAGCACAATTAATAATGAGTTCAAGTACAGAGCAGATCACACTTTGGCTTCCACTGGAAACAAGAGAATCCATAAGGTTCTGAGAAGCTTGGTCCTTGAAATCTGAGGACCCTCTATTCCTTTACTCCAGTGTCAATATTCTCTCAGTAATTAATCATTTACCTCTTCCTTCTAAAAAGAATGCATTTTGTATAATCGATTTTAATTTTTGTGGGGGTTTTTGCTTGTATATCAAATCTAGTTAATACTAGATTAGGGTGTCATGCATAGTTATGATATAATGAACATGTATGTTTGGTAAGGTCCTGGCATTTCCTTAAGGGGAAATAAATTATTTTCCTTCATCTAAACACTACCCAGCAAAAGCCAACAGTGATGGGCAAGAATTATGCCTGCCTGTTTCATCCCTCCTTCCCTTCCTATGTTTCTCCTCCCTTCATTAATTTACTAACTCAAAATATATTTATTAAGCACTTATTGTGTGCATTGTTAACTATGCCAAAGTTACCTGCAAAACGTGATAATATAAACTCTTATAGGCCTTCCAATCAATATTCTATTTAAACAACAAAACATACTCACATGATAATATAAATACAGTACAAGAAGCAGTGCAGTTCTTAAACAATGATCTAAACAATGTTTTTCAAACTATAGGTTGCCAGTCATCCTTTGCTGAGTCATGAAATAAGTTTAGTTGGTTAGGACCATACTTTCCTAAATAAATAAGTAGCAGAATAAATAAAATAATAAAAATAATAAAATAAGGAGCAGAAAAATAGCAAATATCACCGTGTATTGCGTGTAGCAAAATATATTATTTCTTAAAATTTTTGGAGGACTGATAAATGTATGCACTGTATACCAGTATAAAGTGTATTCCTTGCTAGGAGACAGGTTTAAAAAATGAAAGACATTATCCACAAGAGTTTAGAGACAGACAGATTATTTTAACTTGAGTGGTGAAGGAAGGAAGGCTTCTTGGAGCTGAAAGTATTCGCATGAGGCTTACAGAAGATGAGATGACTTTTCAGATAAAAGAGCTACTGGAGAGAATTCTGTAATCTTGAATTTAGTGATAGCCATTAGAAAAGAGTAAACACGATAGCACCAGTTTACTCTTGAATGAATGACTACCCCAGGACCAACTATTCTTTCAGAAACTTCTAAGAGACACATGGCCAATATACAACAAATCTAGATCTCACAACTTGGACTCATCTTCTATCTCTAACGCTATAAGAAAAACTTGCAACAGAGTTGTTCCTGTGAGGTATACCTCAGAAGAGAAGAGCGATTCAAAATATTCTTGCTTGTTCAAAATATTCAGGTATTTAAAATGCTGTGATTTTTAAAATGTGAATGGCCTAAAGAAAAATACCCAATTTAATAAATTGAAATGATACCCCCCGCCCCCCACACACTTGTAGTAGACTCACTTTTGACTTCTATTGGACAGTGGCTTCTCTGAACTCTACTGGTCTAGTATTTTTAATGGGTAAAAACTCAAGGACTCAGGACAACTGATTTTAGCACATCTTCGGGGTGCAAAAGAAGACAAAAAGAATAAAAGCAGTCAGTGTGGCCTCTGGAGAAGGGGAGTTGTTGTTGCAGGAACCTTGCAAGTTAATGAGAATTCACCCGGGACTCAAGAGCAATGGAGAGATGGGGAGAAAGGAGGAGATGGGGAGGGGGGATAAAAACTCTTCCTTTGCAGCTGGCCCTCTCCCTCATTTGTTGCTCCAATAAGCAGTAATTAGGTCCTGAGCTAATGGTGTCAGCTGATCTGCTGTTTTTAGGCTAGACCCAGAGGAATCTCCATGGAAACCCTGCTGGAGTCGTCCCCCCACCTGGATGCTGCATGCTCCTTTCCGCCACCTGGCTGCCGCCGGGCCCGCTGCTACCTCCCTCCCGCCTCTAACCTGCAGCCTGCAGCATGCGCACTGCCCCCGGGATCCCTAAATGGGACAATTCTGCCCGTGACGTCAGCGCCCAGCCGTCTCCACAGAAACTTTTGTCCCATTGGCCAATCAGAGAGCTTGGAAGGGGCCGGGGAGGAGGGGGGGTGAGGAGAGGGGAGTGGGAGGGGTGGGGGTGAGGGGAGAGGCGAGAGGTTTAGTGTGTGGAGCTGCTCGCGCTCCGCCCGGGCTGTCAGTCCCGGCTCCAGCCGCCGCGAGACCTTCCCGGAGACGCGCGCACACAGCGCACCCCCCGCACACCGCACACCCTGGCTCCCTTGCTCGCACACACGCACACACTCAGCCTGGCCGAGCAGGAGCCACTGACCACATTGCAAGTGCCGGGACCAGCTGCGGCGCGGTGGGCACAGACACCCCGCGTTCCCATTCGGGGCTTTCGTCTGGGAGACGACGACGAGGAGCGAAGGTGGGCTCGGACAGCGGCCAGGCGCCGGGCACGGGTCGGGCCGCCCTCCTGGCAGAGCCGCTCCCCGGGACGGGCGCGGGCCTCGGCAGAGAGTAGAATAAAGAGGGCGGCCGCGGCCGCTGCGCGAGGAGGATGGGAACTCCCCTGTTGCCAGCTCTGTGACAGACGGATGGAAGTCCTGAATGGAGGAATCGCTGACTTCATCTGCTGGGAAAAATCGTCCAGAGGAACTCAGATTTGGCGACTCTGAGCCGTGGAGGGGGTGTCCATGACGTGGCAGGGGGAAAATAGACAAACGAAACCTCCTGTGTGAACTACAAACTGTGACCAAGCAAGGGGAAAACGATTTCTCTATTTTAATTTCATGCAAAGGGTTACAAGCATCTGTATCATAAACTTACTTCTGTGTCTTATACCCAGTTCAGGAGAAAACAGAGTCCTGTCCGCGAGCCCCATCATCATCCGGGGGACCCGCCGGCGGCGGCCTGCCTTCGTTTACCCTGAACGGGTATCTGTCTGGGGCACTACAGTCAATCCTGTGGAACTATGGCCAAATCTCCATGAATGCTTTGCTAATTTCTGGGTCTTTACTCCTAGAACCTACATACGGGGCTGGAATTTAGCCCAAATGCAGCTGAAAAAAATGACATTTTAAGTCGTTTTTAAAATACCTTAAAAAAATTTCTTGTAAAACAGGATTTGATAGGCTTAAAAATATGACAGGTAAGAACTTTCTTTCTAGTCCGTAACGCCCGTCGCTGGGAAGGCCTAAGCGGGGCAGGACCTGGAGGAAGGAGAGCCCGGGGACCCGTGCGCCCTGCGGGGCTCGCAGGCCATCGGTCCGGCCGCTGCTTTCGGGGGAGGCGCAGCCCTCGCTCCCGGACCTCGGGCCGGCGGCTGAGGAAGCTTCTGGGGCGCGCGCGGGAGGCGGTGCTGCGCTCAACCTGCCCTGCCCCGAACGCAGCCCGGGGGCGAGGCGTCGAGGGACCACCCCAAGTCAATACTGGGATTTTTTAATAAACCAAGGAATGGGATTTTAATTATTCACAACCCAGCTCCTCTGGGCCGGATGCTGTCGGGATGGTTCTGGTCACACAATATTAAAGAGACCGATCACTAAGAGGACGAGAGCGTCCGAGACATCGGTTGCAATTACGAATGAACCAGACTTGGTAACACAGGGCATTGATTGCGGGTGCCCAACCGGACCCTCCTCCCCTCTCCCCGTTCCTCCCCCCACCCGGGGCAGGCTCCCGCCGCGGCCGGGACCTCGCGTCCCTGCATCGTGGCCGGGGCTGCATTTTTCATGAGCCCGGGGTGAACAGGTGCGAAGTGCGCTGGGAGCATCCGGCCGGCGACCCGGCGCGGGGAACATGGAGAGCGAGCGCGACATGTACCGCCAGTTCCAGGACTGGTGCCTTAGGACTTACGGGGACTCAGGCAAGACCAAGACGGTGACCCGTAAAAAATACGAGCGGATCGTCCAGCTCCTCAATGGCTCCGAGTCGAGCTCCACGGACAACGCCAAATTTAAATTCTGGGTCAAATCGAAGGGCTTCCAGCTGGGCCAGCCCGACGAGGTCCGCGGGGGAGGCGGCGGCGCCAAGCAAGTGCTCTACGTGCCTGTCAAGACCACGGTGAGTGAGTCGCCTTCCTCTGTTATTTGTCTGCCCGAGCAGCCCGGCGGGGAGGGACGAGAGAGGGGGGCGAGCGGGGGCCCCGTGCGCCGCCGCTGGTTCGTGTGCCCCCACCCTCCTCAGCCCCCTCCCCAGCCGTCCCCATTGGCATTAGCCAGGCGCGTTTTCCCCACCGTGGAGTCTTTGTGGTCCTTTATTTTAAAGCGGCAGTGCATCTCCAGAGCCGGCCGCCCTCCCTGCCTCCCGGCTCCGGGACCGGCTGGGATGCTGGAGCTTCCTTCCCCGGCTCGGGCGGCGTCCGGCGTGGCGTCTTCGGGCTGGGCCATTGTCCCATGTCCTTCGTCGAGCGCCTGGCGCATGTCCCACCACTGCCACCGCGCATAAAGGCCAGGCTGGAACCCCAGCCGCACGCTCTGATCGATAGTCTACACTGTCTCCTTATTGGCACGAAGCCCGAATGTGGCGCCAGCCCTGAATGTGGGCTTTTCCCCAGGACACTGTCAGGGTTTATTGTTAGACCGCCGCCCGGGACGTATGGGGCAAACAGAATGCCTTGTTCACTCCTAGCGACCTTTGCCACGACTGTTTACATTGTAGATAAGGTCCTGGAGATGCTTCCTTCCCACCTGCCCCCGTTTCCTTCCTCACTGCCCCCTTCCGCGAATAAAGCCACAGCTAGATGAAGAACAACAAAGAGCCAGGTTTGAGCACGGTCGAATGGTGTGTGTATTCGTTCCTCTTTCTGGGACGGCTCTAGTCTCATGGCCACAAAGCTCTAGCCCAGGCGCTGTGAGATACTGGCACTGAGAGCAGCATATCTCAGTCTCGCAGGACAGAAGCCTGTGGGGCTGGAAAGCGGCAGCAGCGTTGATTCCCTTTACAGGAAGATGGGAACTGTGGGCTACTAGTAGGATTGCAGGTCAGATGCATGAGACCTTTCTGCGTCATGCTACGGTGGGTACTCGCCTGGAATAGGAGTGGGGGAGGCTATCTGGCATCCTTTGTATTTTGCCTCGCTTTGGGGTTTCTTGAGCATTTGGTCCCCTTTTCCCCCCTCCCTTGCTGACAACTGTTTCTCAGTGCAATATTCCTGGAGGATGCTAGAAAGGAGACGTCTTGAAAGGAGGTATATTAAATGCGAAATATGTGCATGGAAGGTTTTTCAAAGCATTATTTGGAGGACTCTTTTTGGTTTGGAAAACAATTTATGGTTTCCCGCGATTAATTAGGAATAGTTGTTTGAAGGATGTGTATTTGTTTTGGATTTATATGGAATATGGGAAATGGAAATAAAGGTGAAATGGAAACACACGTAAAAGTTCTGTTGTTTTTGAAAAGTGTACTATTATTGGAAGGTTTCTAGGAGGTAAATCTATAAATGTAGCCTTCTCCTTTAAAATGTGGCACTGCTAAAGACAATGGTGAGATTAATGTCTTCCTTTACTAAATAATGAGGACTAGATTGGCGTGAATAGAACTGAGGTTTATTTACGTCTGGACCAGCCAGAAATCTGCTATAGAGAATGAAGTGCTTTGATTCATTTGTATTTGGGAGTAACAGTAAGAAAATGTGTTAGACAAACTAAATTAGAATTCAATTAAAAAAATAAGAATGTATTTTCCTTTGGACAATACTGAGCTAACTGAATGAATAAAACAGTCATTTAAGACATATTTACTTAAAGTGTTATTTAATAATATCTGTTGTCTTTCATTCCTTTCATGTTAAACTTAGGTTTATTTTTTTAACTGTCAGATAGCTTCATGTGTATTTAGTCCAATAAGTTTATACTTGCATGGATTTGGTTACATCAACCACGTGTGTTAACATATTTGTCCTTTTAAAATATCAATTAAAAATTGTAAATAACGTAAATACTGAAATGGTTTTAGGGGCAGTAAAGTAATTATGGATGCCATTTATTCAAACCAGCATTCATGTGCTCAGATACCCATATTTTCAGTCACAAATTAATACAGAGTTGTTAAAGAATTACTGCTAAGACATTTAATCTAGAGTGACAACTCCAGGGATAATAATAAAGTAACACGTGTTTTACTTTACAGTAAAGATTCCATATATTTATGGGAGAAAATGTAATCCATCAGGTGATATTCTTAGATAATAGTTCCCATGTAGTGTTCAAGAGATCTGCTTTTCATTCAACCTGTTTTGAAATGTCAAAGAGGTTTCTAATTCATGGGTTCTTCTGTTGCTCTTTATGAAATTTTTATACTGCTCCTGACATAGAATTATAGGCTCCTCCTTCTCTGAGAGGCAGCCAATCATCATTTCAATAAGTTAAAAAATAAATACAAGATCCCCTTTTATCATGTGTTTCTCCACATCTCAAATTATTCCTTCCTTAAAAATTTGTTGATTTTTCCTTATAATAGCAGGAGTACAATTGCCAGAAAGACAAAAAATATAATTTCTTTTTCACTCAAAGGCATATATTGGTTGAAATAAAGTACTGTATTAGAATGGTATTTTCAAATAGACGAAGAATCATTCTAAGCTACTTGAGATTTGAGGGTTCACAGCTGGCTTTGCTGTCAGCGACAGAGATGCTTTGCTCCCGATGTTGCAGGAATCCACTGCTGCTGATAATTAGACATCATTACTACTGCAAAAAGGGAAAGAGAAAAGAGGAGAGGACAGTCCAAGGCTAATTAACTACCTTAGTTTAATGAAAGAAAGAGAGACTGCTGGCAACTGGGAGGTTATACCAAAACAAAGTAGACACACCACATAGCCTTAATTGAAATAAGACTATCTTTCAGTCTCATAGTTAGAAAAGCTTGGTTCTACCTTTCAATTTCTCTAAAGAATAGATGTAGCTTTGCAAATTCTCTTTTCCCTAAAAGCCTTTCCTTAAAGCCTAAACTTAGTTGATAATGAAGTCGATTAAGTGACAACTGACTTAAAATAAAAATGTTGACCACTGGAAAAGATAAACATACCCTTTAATATTTGTCCCGGCCATGTGTAAAGCAGAGGGGACATATCTGTCACTGATGTTTAGATTGCTCTGTGACCGAGGAGATACTGTTTGGTCACTAAGCAACAACATCCTGCAACTCAGCCATTTTAGGAATGGGACCTGCGCTGTGTGAGCGCGCCCTCATGTGCACACGCACGCGCGTGCACAGTTTGTTGAGCATCCTGTCTGTTTTATTCAATACCAGCACTATTATTATTATATGTTCTTTTATTAAAGGTGTTATAAATTTAGGAGGAAAAATATGATGAATAACTTAAAACAGCTCTGAAAAAGAAACAGAAAATGACACTGCTTATAACAAACTTTTAATCAATGATAATTTTAAATTAGCGTCACTATGGTTACTCTATTTTACTTCTTGGATAGTTCTATTTCAGTTTGTTTTTAGAGCTTTTGATCTTGATTGACATTTTGTTTTCTGGCAACAAGTAGTTAAAATATCACACTTAAAATTTAAACTACCGAAACACATTATACCACTTGATATCATGAATGGCAAACTTAGTAAATAACGGGAAAATTCATTAAACCTTTCTGTTAGAAATATAAGTAATGCATTATTGCATATTTTTTAAAAAGTCCACTGCATTGTATAAAACATCAGGAAATGTAAGCTCAAATTTTTGTCTTGCAGTCTTAAGCAAAGTAATAAATATCAAAACGGAATAAATCAAATAGTGTAACACTTTGTTGACCTATATTTGTAGGAACAGACACTAAGGTCTAAATTTTGCCTTTCATATATTGTTTTTCCTTATATTTATTCCACTACAAAACATAAAATGAGGGCCGGCCCGGTGGCGCACTGCTGTAGTGCGCCGCTTGGGAGCGCGGTGGCGCTCCCTCCGAGGGTTCGGATCCCACATACAGACCGGTTCCTGCTCACTGGCTGAGCGAGGTGTGGGAGCAACACCGAGGGTTGCGATCCCGTTGCCGGTCC